TATCAAACGCTAATAGACCGCCCCAGGGATGGGAGAAAGGATCAGATCTAAAGATTGAGAGACTTATCGAGGATATCGGGTGAAATGATTTGAATCGATATGCAAAATAGTTTAGAAAATGAAAAGATGTAGTATATAATCAAGATTCATTAGATTTTGCTGGATATTTAATTCTTATGAGTGAGAAATGAATATTTAAAATTTTTGGATATTCGCTTGTAACATCTCTATAAATACTTTAATATTTTCCAAAAGTTCGGAAATAGGTTTTAGAAAATCTCTACAAGCACTTTAAAATTTTCCTAAACACTCCGTAAACAGAAATTTGTTTTTGATTTTCTAAAAATACTTTAAAATTTTTAAAAAATTCGGAAACTGATAATAACACAAAAATGAGTGACAAATAAAGTCTTTAAATATCCCAAAAATTCGAAAATTCGTTTTTAAAAATCTCTATAAATACTTAGAAATTTCTCAAAATTTTGAAAAATCGCTTATAAATATCTCTATAAAATTATAAAAGCTTCAAAATTTCCCAAAAGATTGGAAATTAATTTTGGAAAACATCCATAAATATTTTAAAATTTTTTTAAAATTCGGAATATTTTAAAATCTTTCAAACATTCGGAAAAATTAATTGATAAATGAATTTCTATAAAAACATAAAAAACTACAATAGACCCATTAAAAACTACATATCTCTTGTCAAATCCTTAAATATAAATATTTGGTAAAGTCATGAAAAAATACAATTTTGATAGTGAAATAATAGAATTCTATTCTTCTATTCAATTGTAATTTACTTTGTCATTTCAAAGCATTAAAGAAATATCTGGTGTTAAAATATAATTTCCTTGTGACTTCCATTATTATTTCAATGACTAAAATTTTTTTAGATCTAAAATGGCAAAGTTAATGTAACAAAAAAATACATTTACATTCGATACTATAAATGTTTGTATAGTTTTAGTTAACTTTATTATTTATTTAAACTTATTTCAAAGTATTGTTCTCCAAATGAGTTGATCTATTAGACTTGCTCAGAGTCATTTTAGTGCTTTGGAAATTATATTAAATGATAGTAAAAAGAAAAATACATAAAAATTATTATTAGATACTATCAATTCATCGGTATATTCATCAATATTTTTCTCAAATCTCAGCATGTAATAGTCATAGTAATAGTCAAATTTAATAATCATAGTCATAGTCAAATGTAATAGTCAGAGTAATTGATTCACTGTTTTCAAGCTACACATCCAATTCCATTTTGTTTTATAAATATTAGAAATATTGTTAAAATATCTAAAAGCAAAAATATATACATTAAAATTTCTATATAATAATAGATTTCTTATTCAATTAGTAAAGTTATTTTCATACCTCTCAGAATCAAAAGCTTAGAAAAGAAGAAAAATACATTGAAATTTGAGGCTATCAATTTTTCTAGATACATATTTGGTTACGATTAAGTTTAGGAAAATATATTAAAAATTAAAATAGAAATTTACCATTTTTTAGTCATATTACTTTTCCTCCTTTCTCATCTTCCTAAAGATTAATGCTTCATTTTAACGTAACAACAAAATTGATGTTGTTTTTATAAATGTTGTTAAAATAGGTAATAAAGACATCGGTAATCTACAAATGTACATTATTGAAAATTTGGGAAAACAGAAGTTAAACATAGAAGATTATCGTTGACCAAGCATTTCCCAAGCCCTGTGTATGACAAGTCCGATACAGCGGGAGCTCATTGTGAATTGAGATGGCGCGCGATTTCCTCCTTCAAAGGGACTTCACAATCATTTCAGAATGATGGCAAGGGCAAACGACAGTATTTTATGAATCGCTTATTATCCGTGACGACGGAATATGATTGAAGTTCTGAAATTGTCTCGAAATTATAATCTGAACTGAAACATCGTCATTTTTATTATATCATTTGTCAACATCTCAGGTGAAAAAATATATTCGCAAATATTAGAATGCCATTACGTTGAACGACTTGTAATGGTCACAACTGTATTAAGCTGTTTTTCATTGTTGTTGATGATTTTATATTTATCCGACATCATTTGAAATACATTATATTTGTTGATAACAATGGAGGAAGGAACATAATTCATATTTCTTACTTTCTCGGAAAAGCTACGTTTTTATACAAATGATAAAACAAATAAATTATTACATTTTATGTTCGATTGGATTTTCCTGGACTCAGAACGCTCCATTTCATCAACTTCTATTCTTCTAGAATTGAAATTTTATGACTATTTTAATTTTTATTTTTTGTCTAAATTCTTAAAACACTAATCAATAACTTGTGAAAAAAAGTACAGCAAATACATTGTTGTCTATTTTACAACTCTAGATTACCCCCTTAAATCTGTATAGCAAAATTCTCTGAACTCTCAATTATATTTCATTTATAAAAGGATGTGTCTAGTCCTGCTCTTAGTATTATTAAATGAAACGCAAAAATCAGGTCTCTAACACTGCTTCTATATTAAAATATGCTGAATAATATTTAATGACCACAAATGAGCAGGATTGTGAAGGTACGCGTATGGATTATTATGGAAAGCAAAGTGAAAAAAGTAATCATAATAACGGCCGGCAAAAATACTGCTTGGGAAGGTAAAAAATAACAACGGAAAACAGCAAACGTCACCAAAGACGAAGAGCATTATGAAACGGGTCAGATAGTGCAAAAAATAAATTATATTTTATTGTGAACCATCCGAATGATTGAAAGTCATTATACACTCAAATGACTTTGTTGTACCAACCAACCGGGGGCTGCTCCGTCGCCTCTACAGGCCGATGGAGCCGTAATAATAATTTTAATGATTTCCAAGTATTTTATATGTCGTTATTATATCACACCGCTTTCTTGACTTTACTTTACATTCAATTTTTTATAGGCTTTTACCATATTATAACCGTATTGTAGTATACACAATATAATGGTAATTTACTTGGGTAAGAATATTGGACAATAGTTTTTATTAAATAATCCATGTGTAATCCAAAATTAAAATATTAAATTTTTAAAAATTGATTTGGATATATTAGTTATTAAGATAGGGGCAAAATACAGAAAATCGATAAGCGAAGGAAATGCGTCTAGACATCCCAGACTGGTTCTTTTGTCTGAGTATGTTTACAATCGTAGTCAAACGATGCACAATGACTTGAAATGTCGAGAAAACATAAAATCAGCAAATAGAATTTCTGGTAAAAGCACAAACTTCTCCTCGCAAAGTTAAAAATCAATCCATCAATTACTTTCTTTGCGTAATGCTCAACAAATTGTCGTGTGCCAAAGTGACACTTTTGCAAATATTTCTTCTACCTATACAAGTTGTGAAGAAACGTCACCTCGAACCCATTAACTTCCTAACTTTCTAGGTAAGGATCATTTAACAATAAACATTATGTGAACTACTACCTATGTGTTGTATTGACTACAAAAAGCGTCGCGTGCAATAACAATGAGGACTACAAAAGAAAAAGATACCGGAGCAAGAATCCTATTACGAAAGGATTATATAACGACCCTGCTAAACGGGGTGCCGAGGATTTAAATTAAGAAAAAAGGACCAGAAAAAAGGGTTGTTTGCTCGGGTTTAATTTTATTACCTAGGCGTATTCTTATGCAAACATAATACCATGGCATTTTAGAGTTTGATGACACTGGAGAGAGATCAAACGTTAATTTTGATTATGTGGACATATGGTGTTTCTTGGTTTAGTTATGTAATTCTTAAAGTGATTAAATTGTTTATGACTAATTAATCTATATTGCAGTTTGAATTGCCAAAATTAATTCACATACCTCTATTTTAAAGCTTTTTTTTGACTATTTTTTTGAGCTTTCATATTATGATAGAGTTCATTGTCTATTGTCATAACTTTAGATGTATCTAAATTTTGATCCTTATGTATTAAGTCGTTTATCTACTAATTTTGGAATGTTATTTTCAATTTGTTATAAGGCAATTTTCCACTTAGACCTAGTTTATACAAATATTTATCTATTTGAATTTATTTCTATCGATACTAATAAAGCTCAATTTGAACTAATTATATCATGAAAGCTCGCTCCACTTTTACAATTTGTTTCAGTACAATGAACATAAAATGAACATAAAATGAAGTTATTATAAGAACCCGTTACCAAAGTACACAAACTATTAACAGTATAGGTATTTTAATAAAAAAAAGTATAGTATTTCCTGACATTTCTTCAACAAACAGTAGTTACCAAAGTAAAGAAAAGTCTGACACACAAATTGTTTTCGCAAAATATTTGTATACAGAATTATTTAATTTGATTCTCGGTAAGCATCTTATAGTAACATTAGTCTGTACTATAATTTTATTCCACGAATATAGTAATTATTATAGATACTGGAGCATGTGATTTTTCCTGGAATTTTGTCGACCAGTCATAATAAATTTTACAATATTTGGTCTTATTATAATATTCTATATTTTATACCACAAAACATGATTAAAAATTATTTAGTGTAAATCGAAATAAGAAACAACGATTGCATTTAGAATTAAAAATATTAAGAAGCATAACAATCCTTTCTATTTGAATCCAATTAGACTTATACTTAAGATAAATTATATTATAATAACAAGAGCATGATTAATGATTGGAAATATTTATTATATATAAACGTGACTGATTGATCGGAACTTTACTAAACGACCAACTGGTTTCAACAATATATTTTCTTCCTCCAGGTTCAAGTAGCTCGATATTATTAACTCTTTCGTTATTATTGTACGAGAATATTTAATGAGTTTCTTGCTACATGTAGATTGGTATTAATTGAGATGCTTATTAGTAGATCTATTGTTACTTTCACGTAGAATCGTTTATGAAATATTTATATTGATGAGATTGTTAAAGTAAGAAGATCTATATATTAATGAAAAGTATTTGTTAGAAAATATTTTTAAATTCTCATTGTTTCTTACAGATCTAAACGACAGTGACCGCAGTAAAACGCCTTATGGTAAGTGCTTTAAGATTGATTATGACCCATACCTATTTACAATACCGAAAACTATAAATTTAAATAAATTTCATAAAATAAATCTGAGATTTTCGATAAAGAAATTTTGAAGCATATGTTATTTACTACTGTTTTTTACAAGAAACAATATTCCGAACTCTAAACGCAACAAGTGATTGAATTTATTCGCCCTTCTGTGTGATATGCCTAAACACTTGCCTACGTCACCGTATAAAGTGCCACTTCCTGTATTTTTTAAGGGGTTGTTCCTTCCAGCTACCTAAATAGGAAAAAAACGAAAAGGGGTTGAGCGAGTTATTCAATTTGTATATGATTAGAGGTCGCGGGGTGAATATTCTGTCAGCCCACGCGGAAGGGTGAAAATGATTTGTAGTGATGATAGACATGTTGTTTTTTTAGTTTGATTTTAATTAACTGTTCGTTCAGGGTAGATGAGATAATTGATAGATGTAAATTAACACGATTATTAGTAAATATTTATATTCAAACTGAAATGGATACCGAAGCATTTGGAGTTAATCTTTTATTACCACCTATCAATTTATTTGAATTTCGCCTTTACTGCTATTACTATAATCAAATTATTATCGTCCATCAGCTTATGGTCCGTACTAAAAGTTCGATATGTATAAATGTAAATTAAAATCGTATTGAGAAGAAAATGAGTTTGCGAGATCGCGTTGGGAATAATAATTCGGTGCGTGGTTCGGCCCTCTCTTCGGCTTATTTCAACCACCTGCGATTAGTCTCATCCTGTCATATTGAACTTAACCGCTTTAAATCACGTACACTTTCATTAATACACCAGTGAATCTGAACATTTTTAATATGCAAACTAAATACCATATATTGCAAGCAAATACCACAACATATTGCAAGCCAATACTACAAGGATAGTAAGGAAAATTGCTCCGCCAAAACGTTGTAGATGACCAAAAAATCGAATAAATTTTGTCACAGCAAGTAATAATAGAATCAGAAATTGATGATGTGATTAACAATGATTTATGGCGAATTTTAAATTATTTTTTATACCAAAGATTTATATTTCTTAAATGTTGTCTTTCATTAATTGGCAAAAAAAAATTATAACAAGAGAAAGATCAGTAGTTCCATTCTGGTATTCAATTTCTGCAGAATCTACGTGTGAATTATAGCAATTCTCAAGTGATTAGTGTTTAATTAATCTTTAATTTAAAAAATCAAATTATTATATTGGATTCTGATCAAGGATTGACAATCACAACCAGTAACAGATAATCTGTAAAGTTAATTTCATGAGCTCGGATATGAATTAGTTGCTGCATACCATATACCATAAACACACCGCTTGCACGCAATTTGCTACTTTTGATTCGACGATCTTAGATCATTTGAGACACCATACTTAGATGCAACGAGAAAAATAAACTAATGGTGCATAGGATCCTACTTCAGGCAAAAGCTTTAATTTTTAAATTATCGATTTTGTTGATTATTTTTTTGGAAAATTTGGAGCTGCCTTCCCCGAAACTAATCATTTCTTCACATTGCCAATACAACCAAAATGTTTTTTGAATCATTCTAATCGGATGCTACGTTCTCTCAAAAACTGCTTTTATTTGCACTTTTTGCTCCGTATCTCCAAAACGGCTGCCTTTGCCAAAAACTAAGAAGCACATCTTTCCGCTAGTAGGAATCGATTTTCTGGGAAAAACCTAAACTTCTCCTCCGAATCAAAAATATCGATTTACCCAATGATTCTTTTCCACGCTACTTCCAGTTTCGATCACCGAAGGTTTCCTCAGTCAATTTGCTTACCATGTGCGTTTAGTGGCAATATAAATTTTGCATCGCGAATCGTATGGTGAATTTAGTAAGAAAAGACAACGAGGCATTAAAGGGGCAAGAGGGACGTCTTTGAGAAGCGCTTTATCGATCGGTTTATGGATCCGCCTACTTCGATAACCGGAGTAGGTACGAAGACTCGAACTTAAAGAGAGTCAAACTATTAAAAAGCCTTCTGGACCAGTGCAGGGGAAATGGAATCATGGGAAAAGTTCTCACGGGTAATCAATACATTAATAAAGGACAAAATTATTCAGGATACAAGACTCCAACTTAACCAGTTGGAATCTGATCAGAAACTAATAATTTCCAAAAATCTACAAATCCCAAATGGTATCTCATATCATTTTGACTTACTGAACTGATGGTGATATCGCTAGTTAATTTTTTTTTATTATTGATGTTACCAATAATTTTTTCCTATAAGCCTATAAGTCTATTTTCTATAAATTTCACAAAATACATCATGTGATTATTATACTACGCTACTGTGTTTTCTGTACTGTGAATATCAGAGTTTGCTTGTAATTATATATATAAACATAAATTAAGTATGCACTGGAAGGAGTTACAGCAGTGCATTAAAACCTCGGATCAGAGATCGCTCGAGAAAGATAGCTAAGAAACAAGTATGACAGTGAATTCGTATTAAGCTTATTGAAATTGTGAAAAATTAAACTCGTTATTAAAATACACATATTGTGAGAAATTAATTTAATATCCGAAAAATTTTAAAAATCTTAAGTTAAAAATCAAATTGTTGTGAAATACACAGTTCTTTTTAAGAAATATAATTTGTTAATCGATATTACAGAACCATATATAATTTCCATCCTCAAAACGTCATTTAAAAACTTAGTCTTAGTTTGAAGAAGATCAAAAGGTTAATTTTATGAAATATATTATTAACTCATTCAAGATTATCAATAAATAGGAAAAAATAGTTTAATTAAATTTTAATTGAATTCAATTGAAAAATTAGAAAACTAGAATTATTTATCAGCATATCTAATATGGAAATCGACTCTGTATACCACTAAACCAATCATTAAAAGTTTTAATTTTAACTTCTAGTTGACTGAATATTTTTGGAATGTCATTTATATAACAAATCGTAAACCAAGGAATGGCTAATCTGTTGAGATTTTTCTTAAATCTTTCGTGAATTCACTTTTATTTCACTGCCAATATATACCATAACATATTACCATACAAACTAGAATAAAGTATGAATATACTATTCTATTATTCTTATTCTATTAGCTAATTCTATTATTTCTATTCTATTAGCTAATAATTATGAATATTATATTAGCACAGAATTTGGATTTGGAAAGAAAACAGAAGAGTATTAGTTTATTAGAATTCAATAGACGCAATTTTTGAATATTATATATGAGGGTAGTCTAGAAAGTTATCAACATAAACCCAACAGATTGCTGTAGTAAAAATATTGTTAGAAGCTATTTAGCCCGCCGAAGTACGCATATAAACATATACATAAATTCGCGAATGTGATTATAATTATAAATATCAAAATTATTTATATGGAAGATTATCTAAGATCTGTTCTATGTTTGAAATTACAATCATTGTTGAACAAAGAACTAGCTTCACTTGAAATCACTTAACCAACTTCGCTTTACCAGCAAAAAAAAACAAAGAAATAAGTAATGAAGTTAATTAAAAATTCAAAATCAAAGTATTAGAATACTAAGATTAGATTAGGGGACGTGCTTTAATGATGTGATCGATTTTTAAAGATTTTTAGATTCCTTCTACCCCCTCGATGATACATCGTGATATATACAATCTCAGAAAAATATTCTACTTTATTTTCTATATCAATAACCTAGATGCAGACCTAGATTTTTGAAAGTATGGATTTAAATTATGTCCAGTTAGAAAATTTGTTGTGAAGAATGTGATTATTGTTAGCTGGAGTAGCAAATGTGCTAAAGGTCATAAGTATTAGAGAATGATCAGAAGAGAGATCATAACTAGATTCAATATTAAGATTTGAATATCCAATACCTCTCACAATAAAAAAATATAAAAGGTCTAGAACTTTGATTGAGTCAGAAGGCCAATATGTTGGACTGGAAGTTGAAATAAAGAAGAGGTTATTTTGCCCTATGGCTGCAGCTTACCCCTCTCCATCTAACGTCACTTGTATTTTGAGTACATAAAAAACCGTTATTTTTTTTTTGAAAAATTTCGATTTTTTTTTGAAAAATTTCGATTTTTTTTAAAATTCAGATTAAAAATAAATGCACCCCTCAAACCCCTAACACCCCAAGCCACACAGTAATTAATGAATGCCCGTTTAAAAATTAATCGTCAGCTTCAATGTAACACCATCATCTTTATTGAATTTATACAAGTTCTAACAACTTACTTCTAACCAAATCAGAGACCACTTATAATCATTGAGCATGCGTTACAAACGTTGTAGTATTCATATTCACAGCATTAACCCGTATGGAAAATAAGATATCAGCAGCAAATGAAGCAAGAAAACCAGCATTAAGATTAATTAAAAATCTTAACTCCTACTAATCTAAATGCCTCATAGATTCAATTCGCCGATAAATCAATTCCTTCGCTCTCGGAATGACACCCCCTTCACGGTCTCAGATGTGTTTCTCTCGTAGTCGACGCAACGCTATATGGACACCGCGCAATCGTTTAAACGGCTCATGCAGTTCCGTTCCCGTTGTTGCATATTCAAACTAGTATATCATCCGGCGGTTAATTAAAAATTCGCCGGTGTAATTTAGTACGCAGAAACGATAATAAATTTTACAGATATTAAAACTATAATTTAAATTATTCAAGAGAACAAAACAGAACGAACCAAAAGGAAAAATCGCGAATAAACGTACCACCGACTGTTATGTTTTGGCGAGCAATTATTAAACAGTTTAGCCTTTTATATGATGTCAGTATGTGTGAGAAACGTATCCGACTATTGTGGGAAATGAATGAATCTGTACAGGTCATCTGGTAATTTTTTAATTGCAGTTTGCAGTAAATGTAATAAATTATATAATTGACATAGGAATCAACGTTACTTAACCGTTCTCAAAAAACATAATTTATCTAGGAGGTAACATTCAATATACTCTCTTTTTAGTTATTGATTATCTCCA